AATGGCGTATGAAATTCTTTGCTAAATTCTCGTCAATGTATGTCTTGAGTTCAGCCAACTCATCTTGCGATAAACTGTAAATTGATCCAAATGGTGGCTGAGTTCCTTCCTTGAGGTCGATTGAACAATCATATGGATGATGCTCAGGAAGAATATCTGCATTCTTTTTCTCAAAAACGTCTTGATAATCCTAATATTGACTTGGAATGCCACTTGAAGTCTTTACGCTTTCAGAAATAGGTGCAGCATAAATAGCAAAAGTTGATCCTTCTTTTGCTGCGTATATAAATGCTTTTGCACCTATAAATACGGGTTTTACTATACTAGATTTATAACTTTTTACTTGGTTGGTAGAACTATTAATAATGCTTTGGGAAAAGTCAAGTTTACGAGAATTCCAATCTATTCGAGGGTTATATTTTTCTAGCCAGGATAAACCTAAAATAACTGGATTAGATGGGGATTTAATTATGTTAAAAGCTATGTAGCTAACAGGACCGTTTATTGTTACTTTTATAGGGCGAGTTTCATGAGTGACATCTCCAGAAGACAAAAGACGGCCATCAATGACTTCTACATGTACGGGTTTAGTTTTCTGTACAAAAGGTATTTTATGACTTTTAACAAATTGTTCATCTAAAAAACATGCTGAGGCTCCTGAATCTAATAAAGCAAAGGCTTTGTAATTCTTAGGTCCTAAATATAATTCTATTATAAAACAAGAAGAGGATTTTGAGGAGAGGATAGGACCTTCATTAGGAATTGTATAAGGTTCTAGCTGCACGGTCCCTATTGTAGCTGGACGAATCCGTTTTTCGACATGTTATCTTCTTTGACCGCCGTACCCCTCATTTTATAGTTACGTTGTTTCTTTGGACAATGTTGAGCAGTGTGCTTAGGTTCTCTGCAGTATAAACATAATCCTTCTTGACGACGATGAATCTTTTCTTGCTCAGTTAGGAGTTTAAAACGTACCGCGTCAATTTGCATGTCTTCTACTTTTGAATGTACGTTTGGCGAAGATGCTGATGTTGCCATTGAGTAATAACGTTGAGGTTCCCGTGTACGACTCTCGGATTGAAATTCAAAAAGTCGATTGTCACATTTTACCGCAAAATCGATTGCTTGACTCAAAGTTTGAGGATCATGTAAGTTGAGCATCAATTTCTTTACTTCGTATTGCAATCCATAAAGAAATTGACTGATAAGTGCAGCATCATTCTACTTGATGTCAATTGCAAGTTGTCGAAATTGTGAAGCATACATTATTACTGAGCGGTTTTCTTGTCGCAGAATTCGGATCTTGTTTGTTGCAACACGAGTTGCATCGTATTCACCATACATAGATCGAAACTCTGCCAAAAAAGCTTCCAAATTGTCCAATATTGGATTTCGTTGTTCGAGAAAAGATGAAAACCACGATAATGCAGAACCAGAAAGTAGAGTGCCAATAAACTTGACTTATGATCCTGGAGTTGGATAGCTTTGCGGTTGAAGTTCAATTGCTAATTGTACTTGATTGATGAACCCTCGAAACTTTGATCTTGTACCATCAAATTTCTCGGGTAAAGCAATTCTTGGTTCTCTAGTGCTTACAGGGTGTTGTACAATTGGAGAAGGAATGTGATTTGGTGCAGATGTTGAAGCAGCTCCGATCATCTCTATATCTCCACTTTCTGCTATTCTTATTCTTTCTTGTGTTGGTGAATTGAGTTGATGCATCGCAAGCATTAACTCCCTCAATTGTTCTTGCATTTGTGCCATTGCACTCTTCATTTCAACAAGCTCTGCCATAATGATACTAAGAAGAAAAATTTGTCTGATATTACTCAAGACAAAAGAAAAAGAAAAGACTTGATAACAAAGAAGATACTAAGAACAATATCAGTTTAGAAGTGGGTAATCCGCAAACTTCTAATACGCTTATGTCTTGTCAAGAGAAAGGGGTAATCCACTCTTACTCAAGAAAAACAAAGCTCTGATATTGTAAGTGCACTCTTGTCAATCTGTCAAGGACAAGAACTCGATAAAAAAATAATTCAAACAAGTGAGCATTCACTCAAGAGAGGTAACAAAATATATATAAACAAGTATATATATTGAAAGAGAAACTGGAATGGCTATTGCCAAAAGACAAAAAAACTAGAGACCCTTGAAACTAGACTAAAAGCAAGAAAGGAGTTGACAAGAGTGAAGAAGCCTTCACTCTTGTCTCTATATATACTCTCTAACTAGGGGCTACGTGGCGACGTTCTATAGGACCTCCAATATGTATTGACTTTGTAGGGCACATGCCTTGACTTACAAGGCAAGTTTTTCTACGTGTGGGCCACATAGTTAGCTTGATCTTCAAGCTAACAACATGTGTGGCACATGGCTAACTTGTTGACCACGTTTCTAATCCAAAAAGTCAATTAAAGACACCTATGAAGTCAAAGCAGCATCTAAGAAATTTCTAGAAAGCTTCTATATTAAATATTATAGAATTAACTTATTTTTACCTATTTCTATATGTAATTATTAGCTTACATGATTATGGCCGTGACAGTTAGAAGGGAAGGTGATGTTATATATATTCAACAAAAGATTCTAGAAATCTTCTTAAAATATTCTATTAGATTTTAGGAGGTTCTAAAAGATTCTAAAAAGAGTATTAAAATATTCTTAAAAGGTTCTTAGAATATTTTAGTAGGTTCTAGAAAGTTCTAAGAAAATTAAAGAAGTTATTTAAAAAACTTCTTAAGGTTGTTTCATCTTCAAGCAACATAGAAACTTCTTTAGAAGCTTCTTAATACCTAATATATTTTAGAGTTAAGGCTGAAGGGTTCCTTAGTCTCAACAATACATCTTTTCGAGCTTTAACTTACCTCATTTGGTATTGATTTTGTACTCATTTGGTTCAATTAAGTTTTTATTAGCTTTCTTGTTGAAAATCTTCCATTCAACTTCTTGTTTAGTCTCATGTATAATATATCTATGACAAATTTATTGCTTGATTGAGTTAAGTACCTTACAAAGCCCAACTACAAATTAAAGACCATATGAGTCAAAATATACCATATTGCATCCAGTATTACAAAATATTTAAGAAAGCAAAGTCAATTTGTTTATTCTTTGACTTTTAAAAGTACAAAATTAGAAACTTTTTCTTGAACATCTTAAAAGATTTTTTCTTGATATTTTCAAAAAATAGAGCTAAGAGTTGTTCTTCTCATAAGCCAAGTTAGCAATATTATGACGTAAATAGTTGTTAATAGACTAATCAATATGTTTACCATCCAACAATAAATTAAATGTGCTTATTCTCAAATATATTTTCAACCTAGCATGTGTACTTTTGTTATAAAAAGTAATAGTATGTCCAAAGTGATAAAGGCAATTTGTGCATGTTGCAACAAATTTTTCTTTGAAATGATCAATTTAGATATTAGTAAGATATCAAATCCCTTCTTCATACAATATTTTGGACTTGTATTTTTCCTTGAATGTAATCTTCAATTTTTGTAAATGCTTCTTTGGAATTATTATACATCACTTATGAAAAAAATACTAATTGCTATTAATATAGATCTCAAAGGGGAAAAAAATGTAAAACCAAGCATTATATTATATGCTATTTCTTCATAAAATCCTCTTATATATCCATATCATTGAAATATTAATTACAATTATTAACAGTATTCTTGATATTCCATATGCAAAATAAAATAGATGTATGCCAAAATATAGTTTCTAGGATAAAGATCATAGCACATTCATAATCAACATCAAATATGATTGGAAGTTTCTTCTTGTAGAACAAATCATGGAGGTATTCCACAGTGATTTGATATGATGTTGTGTCTTTCTACCTCATAAAGACATATGCAACAAAAAACTTGGTATTAAATGCGGTGGATTGAATGATATAGAGTAAAGGCAAGTTGTAGATGTTTGTGCAGCACATAACATCCAAAACGATGACTTGATGATTGATGTGCACAAGGTCTATTAATTTGAGATGGGCAAAAAAAAAAAATAAGCGACCATTTCTCTAACATCTACCTTATATTTAATCTCTAAGATATCATTTTATTGTTCATATCCAAGGATTACATGCATGGATTGTGCAACAAGGAATTGGATGGAGAGCATAGAATGGCAGGAAAAAAAAAATGCAAAAAATGCAATAAAAAAACATGATGGAATTAGTGGCATGGCATCCATCACAAGGGAAAATATTGCAAAATGGGGGCAGACACTTTTTCGCCATTGGATGACATTTTATTTGTAGGCCCATTTTATTATTGTTAAAAACAACTAACTCACACTAACAGTGACTTTTTTTATTTTTTATTTCAATCTGCGTTTCATAATAAACCACAAGCTTAGATAGTTACGAAAGTCAAATAACGCAGTGTCTCAAATGTTTGGCAACAGTGCAGAAACTGCAGGGCTTAATGGATGCTGAAATCACAGCATAGAACCTCTGACAAGCTGCTGGTAGCGGGCAATTGCAGCGATTCCCTGAGCGCGGCAGGGCGAGCTAGGGCTTTAGCGGAGGAACAAATCCACCAACCCCCCACGGCCATTGTGAACGCTACAGCTCCTTCACCATCATGTCCATGATTGTTCAAGTTCTCCTTTCAGTGTTACCTGCAAGACATATCAGGCTAAGCTAAGCAGTTCATTTAATCGCTTGTAAAATGAAAGATGAAGTGGGTAGAATTCCTTGGTGGAGTTTCTATGAACTGGGCACTTCAGCAGAGGGAGAAAACCTGCAAGAAAGGACTTATTAGACTGACGCAGAGAATTTTATGTGGATGCTGTCATCGTGCAATTCATCTTCTAGGTTAATGGAATCTGTACTTGCCTCCTGCGCAGCCCCTACAGTAGCACCACGGGCTTCCATACAGTTGGTTAATTCAGGTCCACCAGTAGGCACCCAGCGGTGGATGATTGTTTATCGGATAGATAGATTGCCAAGCATGCTCGTGGGTGAAAAGGACATGGACATGGTGTAAGGGCAAACAGTTACAGACACACGTACAGATATATTTCAAGCAATATCGCGGCAGGTCAATTTCAAGTAACCATATTGCTCAGTTTACTCGTAGGACGAACACAATCATAGCATTCACAGTCCTTCCAAGTTCCTGGCGACAACGAAAGGTGGTTACCGCTGTTGTTCCATGCCTGAAACATGCGTTTCGACTTCCTTTCGGGAAAGTGAGGTATACATTGAGCAAGCATAACAATGCTATGTATGGGCGGAGGATGACGTTGTCAAACAACTGCAAAGCGAAGGAGCATACTCGTCTAATCATTAACCTATTGCAGTTGAGTTGGGGTTGCATCAATGCCTCATGAGGTGCCACGGTGTATGCGCTGACAACGCATTACATCCATACGTCCCACGATCATTCATCATCGAATTCGAGAGAGATTCTCAAAAATTAATACGAATAATATCAAGGCAGAAATGACTGCTGGCCTTGCAAGGGACGACGTGCGAACCTGCGCGAGGAAACACGGAAGTGAATGACGACAGACAAGAACTGTATTTCACACAGAAGGATCCGCCGAATGTTATGAACACCACAACACTGATCAGACAATTAAATCGCAAATTAAATCAACTTCAAAATCAAAGCATCAAATTCCTGTCTGCAAACAAACGTGTACCATAACAATCACATCTGATGATACTTCTAGTGATCAAACATAATTCACGACTTTTATGCTGAGGACAAGAGGAAGAAAAAACACTTATCATATCACACTTCAATCACAGCAACAGAACTAAGAATGAGCAGAAAGGGTTCGTGGAACGGTCACCTGAAAGAACCTAATTATATCCTTCTCCATCATTCAACGGCCGGAACCGAGAAACAAAAGCTTGTATCTCATGGAAATGAAAATCGACAGCTCGATGCGGCTAACTCTAAAAACTGTCGATTTTTTTAATGGTGTGTCTCCTTCTTAGTGAACCTAGTTTAGCGTACCCTCAAATGTGACCAAAACTAACTCAACTGAATCAGGAAGGTGATAAAAATGCAGAGATTTAAACAGAAAATATATTCTTTGGGCATGAACAATGAGGGAACACTCAAGTGAAGCCGAACACGACAAGGCCTCTTGAACTGCAAATTTAGAAACGGCCTCCAAAACAATCAATCATAACAGCCTGGTGATGAAAATATGTATGATCTCCCCTTGACCGTCACCAAAATTTGTAGGGATAAAAAATGCAATTATTGAATAATTCACACAGAAAGCCCCCGATTAACTGATAATTCAGCTGTGCATGTATACTCGTCACAAGCTACTTGAAACAATTTTAGAAAGTCTCTGGGATCACGGAACTGCATCGCATCTGCATCTAGAGCCTGTGTACTGCCACATGGATTGTGGAAGAGTATTGACAAGGAACAGGCTGTAGAAATGCTAGAAGACCAGCTGCAAAAGGCCAAACTTCGAATGAAATTACAAAATACAACGAAGAGGAACAAACCTTCGAGTAAAATTATGAAACAAACTCAGTGAAACATACGGCTAAAGGAAGTGTAGTTTTATGAAGGGCTTTCAGTGACTTACTTGCACAAAGAAAGATTTTCTAGCTAGGAAAAACTGTAGGTTGCTCAAGTTCATTACTGGGTGACTCCGACAAGACGAAAACCATGCAAGTTCCCACCTCCATTTTGGTGAACGCTAATTATCAGATATAAAGCTGCTTTCTGAGCTTCATGCATTCATCGGGATACGATTGACTACAGACGATTGCAATCAAGCGCAATGCTATTCTTAAAAAGATTGAGAGAAAGAGCCTTGATGTCACGTTGCATCAATGAATGGAACACAACTTTGTGGTACAATCCTCAGGCAACGTCTGTGTTTTTCACAAACTTGGAATTGGTTCATATATTCCCATGCGTGCAATTTGTTTTTCAATGCCAAGTGAGAGTTCTTCTCTCCGGTACTTTGAACATCCTTCTGTACTTGTCTGGATTTTTACAGGATATGGAATCGAAAATACACATCCAATCACGATTATTCGCAGGAACAAGGCAATCTATGTCAAGAATCTACCCATCGTCATCTACTGAAATGGGATAAAACAAAAACCACCATCCAAGCTCAAAAAACCAAACCAAATTTACCAACAGAACGGGGCTTCCTGAGTCGCTAATCTTCACTCTGGCTTCACTTCTCAGTTTTTCACTCCTTGGGCTACACGCCTACAATGTCAAAAATGAAGTTGTACAATAAAATAGAGAATCTATCAGAGCAAATTGCAAGACCTGAAAAGCGAAGACATTGAACAAATCATAGAAACTGGGCATTAGTCTTATACAACAAATATGTCCAAAAACCTAAAACCTGACCAACTGTCCACCCAAGCACCTACTTCAGAAATATGTAAGAAGCATTTGTATGTAGATGGAATAAATTAGCCCTGTGAAGCAAAATACTTAAGCCAGTACCAAACGTCCTTGGTAATGTAAGCACGTTTGATGACTTTAGAGGCCTTATGAGACAGTTTTTAAAAAATGTGTCATGCATCAACCACATTGGTCAGAAAGTCCACACATCAATGAAGCCTCACCCACACGTAAAACAGGACGTGCAACGGAGTCCGCAATCCCTTATTGCAACAGGAATCGCTAATCTTCACTCTGGCTTCGAAGCGCCATCATTTTCCACATGAAATCGTAACAAGATTACCATTCTCCTATCGTCTTGACCAGAATCGTACCATTGGTGTGAAAGTGAGAATGAAATTGCTGTTGTCCAAAAATAGACATTTTTGTTCTACTGCTGTTTTGAAGTTCGAGTAGTAGTCGTAAGTTCGCGGTCCGGTTCTTCAACACACCCTCTTCCGCATCATCATCATCAAACAATGCCCGCTCAAGCAAGAAATCTCCAGTAAAATCAACACCTTCAGTAGTCAACATGTAGCAGAGAGTACACAGGTCCCCATACTAAACATAGACAACTTGGCCCAACGCAGCAAATACCATGTGATGGGACAAATGAGAGGTTTCCTTGGAGGGGGTCCGTGATGACCCCCTCCAAGTACAAGTTGATCACTATAATAAGTCGAGCTCATGCTTGATTAAACGTGATAAAAGTTATATTAACATTTGGCAAAGCACCCATCTCGATGAGTTTCTCCGAGCCTGAAAACTCAACATCACTCTGTAACTAAAACGAGCGGAATGTCTATTGTTCCTTGCTGTCAAATATTGATACGGTAAGTATACGGTGGCAGCCCGAAATAAGAACAGATAGCTGCAGTAACTTCTCCCCGAGTCGTAGAATTCAAAGTAACGCAGAAAACACCCCCACGCTTTCCAGGAGGACGTGTTAATTGGGATCATATATAGTGGGGAAAAAAACTTGCTTAATATAATTAAGGGCTACTAACTGACAGCTTATGCATAGAAAGATACTCTCGTCCACTGTATGAATTGTACAGAACCGAGGCTGTAGAGACATTCTGTAATGTACTGTACAAACATTCTCTAATACTGTAAACGGTTTACAAAGAGCTGCAACCAACACAAAATGCTAGATCCAGTTGGAAAAATCCAAGCATCGTGCATCCACAATTTAGAAGTGCTAACAGTCAAGTTTTCAAGACCCTTAAATCTTTCCAGTTCATGTTGGAAAACTTTACCATTCGCCTACATTTACATCGAGTTGAAGAAAGATTCCATTTGAACGGTCAAGAGTTCTGAAGAGGTTCTCAGAAATCGCTGAGGCCGCTATTGTTGTGTGTTGACAACCCCACGCACGGAGTAGCTGTTCTTTACCCCCCCCCCCCCGGTGCCACGCTGTACGCGCCTTTCCTCCTATTCATATGGCCCAAGACTTCAGTGAGCCTCGATTAAGAGGCGACATAAGGGTCAGGCATTCAAAACCTAAAATAGAAATGCCAATTCCTTAGAGCTAAATCGCACATCCATGCATCTGGGTTTTAGATTCATGTTCATGAGGAGAGAATCGGTAGTCGAACAATCAAGCCCCGGAATCCAAAATCTGATTCAGTGAAACATTCCATACAAACCCATGTGCACAACGGCGGACATTGTTCCCCGTAAGAACAAGATGGAAACACCCTTCATCATCGATCACTTGACTCAAGAATCCTTCAAGAGAGAAACCAGAAGATGGGTTGCAGCGCGATCTCATGATTACAGTCCAAAAAGGATGCAATGAACAGCGTCCCACGCAAATTCCTCATGTGTGACAACCAAATTTAGCCCACTGATATTCCAATCCATCTCAGCAAACGAAGCCGATGCTCTACAAGCTTTCCATCTAAACGTCATGCCATCGCACGTTAAACCCGAACAAACAGTGACACAACTGCACTCGTCAGCATTAAAATAAGATTTAGCCAAAATAAAAAGCAGCTGTGTCTTACATGCTGGGCGTCACACTTGAGGAGCTCCCTCTACGGCGGTTCATTCCTGCTGCGAGCCTCGACTTCCGATCTAAATGAGGACCAATGCCACGCCCAATGTTGCCCCCCAACCACGGTCCACGCGCCACATTCACCACTGCTGTACCCCCCAGAGACGCGACCGCAAACCCGAACATGTACATTCTAGTCTTCCAAGGATTACACATCCACGACCACATGCCCTCCTCCCTTCACAACACCTCACCGCTCAACTAAACCTAATCATCTAATATTCCCCATCCCGCTCCGCCATTACCACCCTCATTCCGCCATCCTCAATCACTGCTCAATCCCACCCCACGACACGCCACAATCAGTCTCTACCTCACCTTCGGCCTATTTCCATTCCGGCAATGCCAATCTGCAATCACCGTCCATCTTCGGCAGACGTTTCTGTTCTTCGGAATCTCAACAAATCAGGATGCGATTTCTCTCACCCTTTAATTCCCACATGTGTTTATTTTTCCTTTTTTCTTTTTTCTTCTTCACAGTTGATTCCGTGGATGCGAGCAACAACGAGCTTACTTTCAATATCCAACAATCCGTGGGAGCTCGCCATGAATGATTGCGACGAAAGTAGGGAAACGCCGCGCTAGCAGACAGCGGCAGCAGGGGGGACTAGGAAACGCACCTCCGCTCCGTCAGGGTTTGCAGTGAACGCCATTCACACGGAGACAATCCATTCGAGACACCAAAACAATGGCGTGGCAAAAAGAAAAATACCACGTGTAGAGTTCCAATGTCCGCGTTGGGGGAAGAAAAAAAAAAAAAAAAAAAAAAAAAAAGAGAGAGAGAGAGAGAGAGCTGACTGCGAAGGTCGGACGGACGGACGGACGCCTTGCAGGACCTGAATTGATTACTTCACCCGAGATCGAAAGGTGACTTTGTCCTGAAGGCGCGACCAGCATAATAAAAACACCCCCTTTTTCCCCGTCGCGGTCTTCTTCTTCGCCCCTCGCCCCTCGCCTTCTTGCGCCTCAAACCTAATTTTAGACCGACCTGGGGGTCCACACTTTCCCTACCAGCCCACAATGCCCATGTGGGGAGAAATGGAATTATGTGGGTGTTTTTAATCGGGAGGAATTTCGGGTTTAAAATTGGTGCGCAGAGGGGTAGCTAGGTGCTGGTATTCTAGGCCGGCCGCCACAATGATCAGCAACCCTGCTGCGGCCATCGAAGTCGCCGTCGTCTGTAGATTTTCCTCTTGCCCCTGTGTTTTTAGGGTTTGCTAGGCAACCTTTTTTTTACTTTCGGTGATTTTGTGGGGGTGGTGCAAGCCTCGCTCGCCCTCTCTCAGGTCTTGTGTTGACTAGTAAAAGGGGCGTCCCAGTGTGAGGAGGGGGGGGGGGAGGACTTGGAATTGGAAGCAGCACCATGTGGAGGGATGTGAGGCTTTCTTTCACACCCATTTTTTAATGTGCCTGCTTTGCGAAGATTTTATCCCCCCCCCCCCCCAGTGAAGGATCGCCTGCAGTCTCAGAATATGATTGATAAATGAATGGCGATCAACGCCTGTCAATCTCAATCATTTATCAACCAAAATTGCATGAGAAATGGCAACCGCATTTTTTTAAGTCGCTTTCTGTCAATTTTCACTCTTGTCGTTACTGTTTTATTTAATAAGTTTATTCATTAACTGCAATGTGGTTTTGCCACCAAATCAAATGATTCCGAAGAACAGAGACCGTGCATTTTTTTGGTCAAATTTTCCAAAATTACAAATTTATTTATTTATTTTTAATAAAAAGAAGTCTCGTATCGGCTCATTCAATGGTTATATTGAAAGTGTTGCAGTTATTAAAAAAATCTGGTGGCGTTACAACATAACAGCATGAGCTGTTGGAATTACCTTGAAAAACTAAATGAAAATAAGAGTGAAAGCAACATTTTTGATATAAAGCATTATTTGTGTGTGTGTGTGTGTGCATGTGTATGTTTGGTTGTACACTATAAAATGCATCAACCAATACAATTGAGAATACAGGAACTGTAAAAATAAAGTAACAACAAGTTTACCAAACACATTGTACTAAATCCAGCCTTGTCTTGGCTCACTTTTGAACACAAGGAACTACTTTTGTAGCACATGTTCTAAATCTTTGAAGTCTCCCTGGGATATTATCTTCTAATATTTCATCACTTTGTAGGAAAGAGGGTGGGTTGTAAGGATTAGGATTTCAGAACATGTAGAAGGAGGAGAAGAAAAGTAAAAAAAGTAACCCAATACGTTACGGACTATTAAATTCTATGTAAAGAAACTCTGTCCTCTGAGATGAGATTAAAAAAAAAAAGGGCCAGTTGGGAAGAGCTTCTTCTAACTTGTCCTACATTAAGCTTCCGAAACCCAAAAAAAAACCCAGGGTTTGTGTAAGCAAAGCCTGTGGCACCCCTTGTATTAGAAAAATTGAGCTGATGGGCATGATAAAGCTGAACCCACAATTTGCTGGATTATAGAAGGGCGTGCTTCTGCAAGAACAAAAGCCCCTTGTATCAGACCTCTGAATGATCGTATGATAAGTAGGCAGAGGTGTGAGAGAGCCTGTTAATGTGAAAAGTCAAACTTGCCCCCCCACTCCCCCTCTATTTACAAAACCACCACCTAGTCAGATCTTATCAGCGTGTATTCCTGGATTTTGTGAGATGATACGCCGTGATCCCTAGATTAAGTATTGTTTTTCATGGTAACAAAAGATAGGCAAGTGTACTGTGGTGGAACAGCGAAAATCTCAGTGAGGGGTGTCTGTGAACAGCGTGGTTTTATTCCACGTTTACTAAAATGGTTAGTCGGCTCCATATAATTTTTTAAAAGTGTTCCAGTATGGGAAGATCTTCATTTTTTGCTCTTCTTTGGTCCGTTTTTGTTTATTTTGTAGTTTTCAAAGGAACAGGCTTTCATCATTGGAAAGTGTTCCTTGACATTGTCATTGCATTGAACCATGCGATGAGGTGTGAAAAAAAGTTGCTTGATTTGTGTGTCTATTAAGTGAAAGTGGTTTATTAGTTGGTGCCCATTTAGTAAATAAATATATCAAGAGGAAAATGGCACCTGTACATTTCAATAGAAGTACCGAAATATAGGGTGAACAGAAATGGGATATCCCAAACCCTTTCCATCTCAGCAAAATGTGACTCATCCAACGACAAAATGTTTTCAGAAACTCAAAAATCAAAAAGAATAAAAAACCCACGAAGTATGTTTGAGGTGACGATGGTTTGGGGGAGTCCCGCCCAAGACGGAGATTCATTTTTTGTATTTTATTTTTATTTTTTCAAAAATACAAAACGAGCCGGAGTATTCTTTTGGGAGAGATTTGGACGAGGAGGAGGGTGAAAGTTGACGGGGTCGGGCCACCTCGAACGACCTCGATAGTTACGCGGCAAGAGGAGGCCGTAGATTCGAAATCGTTACTGCACAACAACCTCCCCCAGACTAGGATTTCAAAGCAGGATTTCATCCAGCCTCAGGTTTTTTTCAGCCTGCTTGCTGCTCCATTGGGTTCCTCGATTCGTAATGGTGGCACACCTCCCGTAGTGTTACTCTCTAATTGGGTTTAATACCAGAAATTTTAGTTTCGGCCCTCAACCCTAACAACTCTTCTCCTTCCCTTCGCTTTTCTGCTCTTGCGCTGAGCTCCGAACTCAACCTGGATCAATGCAGGCGGGCGAGGGCGCATGAAATGGATGAACGAAACTCTCCACCATCCGATTGACATCCATTTATGGATGAATGATAAATATATTTACTTTGGAGCAGTCTGGGGGACGTTCTGACCTGTACGTTGCGAAACAGGGAGGAGGGGGGGAGTGTGTGCGGCCATGGCCATGGCGTGCGAAGCCGATGCTCTGACACAACGTAAGAGAAGTGGGAAAAAAGCAGCCCGAGGGACGATCGGAGGGGAAGGCATTAAGAGGCAGAGAGGGTCGCAGAGTAAGGAAGGGCGAGGTTAGGTAGAGAGCCTGCAAAGATGTGTCAGAGGAGGTGGTAAGTAAGAAGGGGGAGCGAAGTAGAGGAAGAGAGGAGGAGAAATCCGGCGATGGCGGTAAAAGTGAAGGGAGGGGGAGGGGGAGGGGTGGCAGTGATGGGGGCAGAGGCGGTAATCGAGGATGCGAAGACAACGACAACGATGGAGGCGGAAGCCCGGGAGGGAAATTACGGCTAGAAGACAAGGGAATAGAAGAACAGAGACGAGGAGTGGAAGGGAACTATAAAACATGCTGTGTGCTGGATAGCTTGCTGGATTCCCTGGAGGCTGCTGCTGATGCTACAGTACAAGGGGGAGGAGGATGAGGATGCTTCGGAATGTGCAGCGCATGGCTGCAAGTGAGAGGAGATGAACAAGAGTAAGTAAAGAGGAAGTAGAGGGGGCGACTTGGGATTATAATACTATAACGCGCACCTGCCCATCCCTGCGTGCCCGCACCCCATTCTTATCATCCCCCATCCCTACTTCCTTTTTAAGCCTGCCTTGTTCGTCCTCTTCCTCTTCTAGTTCTTCTCAGCACTTACCTACGCAACTCACACCCTCCATGCCTCTGTGTCCACTTGCTGCGAAGTGTGTGCGTACTTTGCTTAAGTAGAACTGGTGACTGCTTTTCCGGTCTTCGGAAGTTGTTTCTTTTGTGGAGTTGTCTTGTGCTGTCTTCCGTTTTGCGCTGGTGAGGATTGTAGGTACCTTCTCTGGTGAGGGTTTGGGCTGCAGTGGATCTATGAGTTGAGGTGAGGTGAGGTGGCGATTGACCAAGGCTGGGCTCGTGGCTGGGCCGAAAAAGGCCGAGGACAACTAAGGGAGAGGGTTTTGAAGATGTGCGTTGGTGCCCGATCTGGGATTTCGTGGTGGCTGTAGAAGAGTTGAAGTTTGAGAGGAAAACTGGACAGAGGGATTGGAAGTGTAGGACTTGGAACAACCTGAAATTTGCATTGGAGGGCCACGACAGGAGAAGTTACAGGCTTGAGCGAGCTCGGGAGAGCGTGTTCTGGCATGCGCTGTTATATGAACACTGGGTGATAGAGCTAGAATCGTCCATGATCTTCGCGTGCCTACTCCCGGTCTGCACCTCTTTCTTTGGACCTTTGTTTTTGCCCCCACAGCGTGCGGGGACTTCAGAGCCTCACCATCCTTCATCGACTATCAGAATCCAGTAGGCATTGATCTTGGCAATGGAGACTGAAGAAGTCTAACTGCATGCGATTTTCTATCTGGTTTCACATTGAACTACAATTAGACTTACCTGAGTAACCGTATTATCTTGTGCGCACGTCGAGTCATTAAGACATTGTTCGGGTTAGAGTAAACTGATTTACACGACTAGTAGTGTTAGCGGCGTTCCTTTTTGAGTCTCATGTGCGGGATGCGAATGGCCAAATCTTTGAGCCGCAGCAGACTGGGGTTTGTTAATCACGTGAGGAGGGCTTGGAAGATGCGAGCTGGACAGTAGGCTGGACGTTGTTAGGCGTTACCTGTGCCGAGGAGCGGCGGAGCAGTACCTGGAATCGCTGACCGATAAAGATTCCTTGTTATTCCCGACGTGATATCAGATTACAAGTTGTAATTTGGTATGCTCACGGCCATTTTAGTGTGTAGTTGGCGATCTTTAACCTTTTACCACAACACATCCGTGATTACCCTGCTCACATATTGATACTGATTCCTTAGGCATGTCTCGCATGTTTTTCACATGGACAGTCTGTGGTTCTTTAATGATTCGTGATCCCATGAATGACATTTTCTCCTCCCATTTCTGTTTTGCAGGTCCATTTCTGCTTGTAAAAAGCAGGAATTATTTCAGCTCAAGAGCGTGCTTCAAATTGTGTGAAATGGCAGGTCCAGCAGGAGCTTTATGGAGTACTTGTGATCCACAGCCTATTCAACAGGCAGAGATATTTAGTGGTCCTGACAACCAAGCTGGTTTGATGTCTTTTCATGTGGATACCCCGTTCCATTGGGGATCTGAACCATGGGCTCTCCACTCTCGGTCAGATGACATCGCCTTGATGTCCCCCTCGCTTGTTCACGACATATCACCTTATGATTCTGTCTTGCATCTTTCCGGAGTGTCTGGGGATGTGCAAGATTTAGTTTGCGGGAATCCCAAATTTCGCCAAAGTGGGCAATGGGGGCAGAGCGAGTTTTCATACTCTGTTCAGGACAACATGCAAGATCTCCTAACCAACCAGTTCATACCGTACAACACATCTTCATTGGGTTTAAATCATCTCTCCCCGAATTTCACCGACTTGGATTGCGCACCGGTATACAATGATACCAAGGCTTTTGGCACTGTTACACACAACAGGGCAGTCCCGAGCACTAATACCCAGAGTGCTCAGCACGGGAGTTCGTCTATGGTTTCAAGTAACAGGCCAATCACTAGCACAGCTTCTCCTACTACTCAGTATGGAGGTCCGAGGACTCCATCCCAAACCACCCAGTACGGGGGTTCATCTATGGTTACCAACTCGATGGAAATGTTTGCTTCAGCTGCACCTCAGGGTATTATGACTACATCTGGCTTGAGTGGCGGTTGCAACTCAGACTTGATGCATCTGCCGAAGCGCCAGCATGCTCACTCTCTTCCTCCTACCACTGGCAGAGATTTAACTGCATCTGAAGTGGTATCTGGAAATTCGATATCAAACATTTCCGGGGTTGGATCTTTTAACAGCAGCCAGAAAAGCAGTGCATCCGTGATGATGTCTCCTTTAGCTGCTTCTTCTCACATGCACAAGGCTGCTGCTGTATCTGAAGAACTTAAGATGGCAAGTTTCAACCCTGGTCCATTCGTACCTACGCAGAAAAAGCAGCAACATGAGCAGCAGGATACGATGACCTCTAATCGTATATGGGCGGATAAGAACAACTTGGGAAAAATTAGTTCATCGCCCATTCCGATCATGGGGTTTGAGCAGAGTCAACAGCAATCCATGAGCAATTCCTCCCCTGTTACCAGTTTGGGGTTTGAGCAAAGGCAAAAAATGTCCATGGGTAGCTCTCCCTCCATCACGATCATTGGATTTGAGCAAAGACAGAAGCAACCTATGAGTAGTTCTTCCCCCATTTCAAACATGGTTTTTGAACCAAGACAAAAACAGCCAATGAGTAGCTCTTCTCCTATCTCTAATATTGTCTTTGAGCAAAGACAACTCCCAACTGTGGGTAGCTCTCCTCCGATTTCAATCTCAGGATTTGAGCCAAAGAAACAACCATCTTTGAGCAATTCTCCTCCCCTCTCTAATCTGGGTTTTGAGCAAAGGCTACAACCCATGAGTAATGCATCTCCTATTTCCAACTTACCCTTTGAGCAACAAAGACAACAAGCAACCATGAGTAACACCAGATCTGCAGAACCCGATTCTGTCGAGTCTACCACGAAGTGGCCCTTGCGGATGGATGGTGCCATAGGTGGATGTGCTGGCTTACCAAGCAGTCAGAAAGCTCCTGTTATCATGCAGCCTGAGACTGGGACTATGAAGTGTCCTATTCCGAGGACCATGCCCAGCAATGCTAAGGCTTGCCCAGCTGTGCAGAATGCTAATTCCGTAAACAAGCGCCCTCTTACGGTAAGGCTATCTCATCTCCTGGTCTCGCATTCGTATGTGTAGTGCGCAGTTCTGTTCCAACCGTGATATGTATGAACTTCAATGATCAAATGATGCTTAGCTGTGGTAATTGATACTGTGAGTGTCTTGGCTTCGTGTTACAGAGACTCCGCTCAGTATGCCATGTAATTTTCATGTACCATGTTGTCGGAGTACAAGTTCTTTTTAATAAAAGTTTTCAATGGATTGACATTGTCTGGTCAGGTTGATGACAAGGACCAAACTGGATCGATGAATAAGAAGTCGATGCAAAAGTTTTTGGGACCTCAAGGTTGTAGCAGACTTGAAAGTATCAGTGCTTTAGCTCACCAAAAAGTGAGTCAAAGTACAACAAGCGGTCGTGCTCTAGGGCCTGCTTTGAACACCAATCTCAAGCCTCGTGCACGCCAAGGGAGTGCCAATGATCCGCAGAGCATTGCTGCTAGGGTAACATAAACATTCTTCTACATGTTGCGTTATTTATGGTCATGTTGTAGCGACTGATTTATGAGGCACGAAAGTACATGGGGTCTGATAGAGTCGAGCATGTGCACACAGGTGCGAAGAGAAAGAATAAGTGAGCGGCTCAAAGTTTTGCAAGCCTTGATACCTAACGGTGATAAAGTGGATATGGTCACCATGCTGGAGAAGGCTATCAGCTACGTGCAGTGTTTGGAATTTCAGATTAAGGTTAGGTCTCCATCATATTTCACAGCAGAAATGTTTGTTTCCCATTTTTCTCGTTAATTTTCCGCGGATTGAGCTTATGTTGGGTCTCAGGGAGCTCGTTGTTCATGTGCAACTTCTGTTTTGTTCCAGATGTTAAAAAATGACTCTTTGTGGCCTAAGGCGCTTGGCCCTCTACCGAACACTTTGCAAGAGCTTCTCGAACTTGCTGGGCCAGAGTTTGCCGGCATAGATGGCAAGAATACTGAGGAGTCGTCAGAGAAACCGAAGAAATCTGCTCTTGAAGTAATTGAGTTGGACGGCAATCAGCCTTCTGCTGACTAAGTAGAAAACATCAGTCGAAGTGTATTATGCTTATTTATATAAATATTATGTATGTAGTTGTTAATAAGAACAAGTTTTAGGAGGGGGTTTGTTGTGAAGTGGAGTTGACAGAAGCATCTGCCTTCTTTTCACGTCAGATCCTCTCCATAAGCAGAGGTTATTCGCTTTCAGGTTAGCCCTGCTGTTTTTTTGTTACGTTGGGTGGTTTGTCCGTACTGATTTTGAATCCAGGGTTTTGGTTCCGATAAATGTCAAGACCCAGAACTCCCTATAATTTGGACCTCACATGTCCTTGTTTCAACAAGGCTTTAGTTTTTTGGTGTGCACTGGGGCCTTGTATCTTGTTGGTTGCAAACTAGGTTCATTCCAGTGTCCAGTGGACGCGAGAATGCACCTGGATGCAACTTCCTGCTGCATGTACTGTTGAAGCTGTGAATCAGACGTGCACTCGATGTACTTGTACGATGAGTTCGTTCGCATTTTTTTTTTTTTTTTTTTTTTTTTTTTTTTCTCTCTCTCTCTCTATATTGAAAATTTCTTGTGCTAGTCTTATTTATTGAAAATATAGCTTTCTTGGCTTCTTGTCATCAATATGCTTCCCTGCAAAATTTGCAGCGCTGCGGAAGCCCCAATTCTTGCTGCAGCAAGTTCACGTGCTCATCAATTTCGCCCCTGGTTTCTGTCGTTTACGGCGAAACCTTTATCCTCCAGTCCCCTGCGGGGGCTTAAATTTTTAATAGATGGTTCCATTATTTGAGGATAAGAGAGGCATGGGCATGCCGTCAGTGTACAATGAATTAAGCCTGTCAGCCGTTTGTCTCAGACCAGGATTAGTCACTGGTTTTCTCCACCTCATAAGGTTGGTCTGTTGACCCGGAGCCTTATCCAGTACTGACACGGTCGCAATAGTGCTGGACCCGCTTATCCTAACGGAACAGTGTTTCACGTCATTTGGTCTCCGTCCCTAGGCTACACAATCCATCAACAGAATCATCTCAAATCACACATGTAACAACCTAGAGGCAGAAAAATAGAGGCGCAAGTGTAGAGAGCAGAGTACGAGCAAGTCATCCGTGGTTGGTCTCTTCGCGCAACACTTGTGCGTTCGTCAGTTCTTCCTCGTTGCTCGTTGGCTGGACAGATGTAGCCATCTCTTGAGAGCTTAGACCATTGACATGTAGCTGGGGTTGGCAGAACACTCGCCCTGCAAATGGAGCTCTGGGCTCTGTCGTAGGCCTACTCAAGTCTGTCATTAAATCATATTTCAAGTATCTTTCGTCAGTTGGCCTGTGGTGGCACTCAGATTGATGAATGAACTCCCCCTTCCAACACCAATTTTTTCAAGTTTATTCCTGATACAGACCTCTTTTGAATTGCACACCCTGTTTGTTTTTGTGGAGAATAGTTATCTGATAAGTTTACAGTGTTAATGTATGGGTTCCTGTAAGCTAGAAGCAACGGACTGTGAGTTGAAGTTACCTCTGGCGGCGCATGCGACATCTGTTTGAAAAAGGCTGCTGTTGTTGACATTCACTGTGCAGGTCCGCTGGAAATCAGACTTTTCCTCGACACTTTTTCCTTCTTCCTGCACAACGGCCGGTGAAATCCGTAAGTTTCTACCGCAGCTACTCTGTGTCAGACGTCGTCAGTACGACTACATGTCAAAGACTTGCAGAGATCACTAATATACATTACCTTGTGGACAAATTCGCGATTTTCCAAACGCTCTTACTTGCGATGCAAACTCAAACAGTGTCAGACTCGTTAGGCTTGTAAGCATGATTCAGCTCAAGTAACGCACTTCAGCGACGTTGCTTCAATACTCTCACTGGTCTTGACGGCTTTCCAAGTTACTGACTCCCTCACAAAGTGGCCGTGAAAGGCTTAGGGTTTACAGAAACTTGAAGCACACGCGACAACAGTTTCAGTTAACTCTGACCCAGCCACAACGTTTCCAGTCCGTATCTAACTCGCCTGAAATCTTAAAAGTTACTTATCATGTTATATCAGCGGAATTGACGACACCATTTTTTTAAATATTTTATTTCTTCAGGTGGATTTAGAGCGGCCCAGTGCATGGTGCATAATTTGCAATAGAACAATGAGCTCGTGGACTCTTGTCTCTTTCCCATACATACGTCAACTCTCTGAGCTTTGGACCTTTCTTTCAAAGCAGGTGGATTAGATAAAACGTCGACAATTGTTCCAAGGACTCAATTCTCTCAGGGATTCGAGGATCCAATCACTTGTCCCGAAATCATTATTAAATTCGCATGCTCATACAGTGGACGATCGTTGTCCATGCATCTGCACAAGCTGATCGAGATGCTACTGGCACTCATCCGTTGGAGATTTGCCAATTAGTGGCGTCACGAGTATGCTTTGCTCCACCGATTACCGTGAAAAGTCGTTCGTTCTGTACGCATCGAATTTGTTATTGAAAGATGAACCGATTTCATGTGACCGTCGGCTTTGAACCTGAAATCATGGCTGTGTCATCCATGGCGTGGGAGCTTGGAGGAAATTTTCCATGGTTGTGGAGGGAAATTTGTCAAGAGTCTCGTCATGGGGCGTAAGCTCGAAATGCATACGATTTTGACGTTTCACGGTGTACATCGCAAGTTCGAGGCATATGGGGGTTCTCAAGGTCCCTCCAACTTTCATTGCATCACGCACAGTATTGCAGCGCAGAAGAACTGATGATTCGTGCACCCATGCTTCAATATCGCAGTGCAGGAACCCCACTTTCAAATCACGACACGAACCACATCTGGCGTTAACCTTGAGACTGGCAGTGTCGTTGCCGTCCATCACGACATGACACCGGTTCTTCAAAATCCGACGAGCACAGGATCTCACCTGTTGCTCTAAACCACGCATGAATCGCACATTTCTGATTCACCCCGTTCATATCCAGTTGCGCTCAGTCACTGTCTCTCTCAACCACTGACGCTCGGTGCAGAAACAACGAACTCCAATTACTTGGATCAGTGGGGTCGTGGTTTCAGAGATTGTGTTTCTGTTATGTTCCACCTTTTCTAAGCATTGTGATTCGGAGTGTAACTGTGTTGCCCACCTCACAACTGTGATTCAGATCCTCGACACCCCAGATGTGCACATGCTCGGCAATCAAGCGAGTACCGAGCATCGGGCTCATGCTTCCCATCGCCCCCTTTTGCTTCGCCCTTGCCCTCATGTGAAGAAATGTGTGTGTGTGTGTGAGTATGTGGGTGTTTGTAAGTAAATGAGGTGTGAACCGAGTACCATAGAAAGGAAAGAGGATGAGTTGGATTGGGTCCACTCTTGCTTTTCGATCTGCCTTAAAGTCTATGGTTGATAGAGGCGCTAAGTGAGAGAGTGAGAACAAGCTAAAGAAGGGAACAACGAGCTGGAGAAAGGGACAAAGAACAAATAGAAAGTGGGAGAGAGAAGACGATAAAGAGATAGGACAAGCGAAGACAAAGAGAAAGACAGAACGAGCAAGAGAGACAGAGAAAGAATAAGTGAGAGTAATTGTTGTGCTTTCGGAGATCCGCGCAAGGGTGTTGTCCTTCAACCTCGCCCGTTGACCGATCAATAGGACCATCACAGGGAGGCCCCCTCTGACCCCCTCCTCCCTCCACAATTGTAGCAGATATTAGTTAGGGTGTTATTATATGAATTAGAAAATTAACATTAACAACTTCATATATATATATATATATATATATTAACGATTTTCTATTCTATTTAAATTTAAAAATATGATTTCTGAATTTGAATCAATAAAAATACAAAATTTTATCTTTTGAAAAAATATTATTATTAATTGTATTGTTTTATTCAATCAACGTTTGTCAAAATCGATGCTCATGGCCTTTGAATTTGAGGGTAAAATGAATCTTGGAATAGGTTTTGCACAGCATCATACATCTTATAATAGGTTTGCACAAGACATGAAACAATAATTTGCAATCAATAGTATAATAGAGTATAACAAAATAAAGAATGAAAAGTTGTATATATTAAAAAAGAAATGCTCTTGCAAAGATTCACATCATGGTTGATGAGCGAATCTACACTGAGCTTTGCAGAGTCTTTGATTCGTGAAAGATTGTTGTCTGGAACAACTGGGTAGTTGTCTTGTGGGAATGCATCCATGGAGCATGGAGCTCATCACCACCACAGAAAAAAGGTTAGCACGGAGGAGTGTATTGTCTTGATGAAGTAGGTCGTAATAAAGGAAGCCTTTGTAACACTCCGTTATCTCTCAAAACTCTTTATCGAAATCGTGCGAAAGAGTAGTCAGCGTTGAATGGTTTTTTTTTCTTCAAAAGAGATTGTTTAGATGTTCATCATTTGTTCGCAACGAGTATTTTCGGCTCAACAATGCCTCCCCAATTTGCTAATTGATGATTAGTGAAACCGTTTGGGTTAACTTGCAATTTCGAGTTCAGGTGTTGGTTTTGGACAGTTTGCCCCTCATCTAGCTAGCATATTATTTGCTAATCTTCTCGCTGAGAATGCCATGACCCACTTGGAAATGCTACGTCAGGGGGAGTGCAAGACCTTAGATATGTAAAGAAAGCTTGTTGATGTGGGTTGGAGCATAGAGGAGTTGCGGACTTTTAACTTGAAGAACCCCTCGGTCGATCAAACCACAGTGAGTTTGTTACCTCGGTGCCTTTGATGAATGCAATTGTGGATATAAATAATGGCTTACAATAATATTCTACACAACTGGGAGGATGCTCAGTCCAACTAGCCCATTCTCATTAAAAAATTAAAAATAAAACACATGAGAATTAAGTGTATCTCGTAGTAAAATGTAACCTTCTAAGTGGGAAAAAAATATTAGTGAGTCTCCTATCCTCATAATTCGAGAAGAATTTCTCTGAGTCAACTTCCTACTTTCTGACTCTTCCTATACTAAGAATGAGGAGGAAGATGTGGGCTCCATCTCCCTGATCCCACTCCTTGAGATCCTCGAAGGAACCGATTGTACTGGAATCTGCCTTTGCGACCTTTGGAGGTCAGCACCATTTTTGGATTTGGGAAAAGCACTGGATTCTGGGAGTGAAAATACAGGAAACTGGAGGCCACACCAACGCCCTGTGGATTTGCAAGGCAGTTGGCCGTTCCCCCATGGCTCAGTAGCACATTGCGGTTCTTCAAAGTTTGCACTTGGGGTTGAAAATAGATGATTGTCAATAATTAAGAAAAATTAAGAGCATTTTTTTTTCTTAATTTGAATGTTTAATTATCTTTAAACTTTATGTCTTTATTTTTAATTAGTAAATTAAAATTTATAAAAAAAATTAGATCAATAATTATGGTAATAATTATTTGGGCACAACTAATGCTATAGATGGTTTGACTACTATGACAAACACTTTATTTATTTATAATTTTAATTTTTATTAATAGCATAATTTAGACTATTTTTATGCTAGTAAAAAGTCATAATTCTAACACAACCAAACTGTTATTGATAGATACAAGAGCTTTTATGTATTGTACAAAAGAAAAAACATCTTTTGTTATTTATATCACACTTATTTTTAATAGAAAAAAGACTTTAAGTGGCATTCCAAGCTAGTATCATAATTAATTAGACATTGCTAAAAAACAAAATGTAAATATTCTTATATATTATTGCATTTATGATTGCTTACTTGATCTTTAAAAAAGAGCTCAATTGCCATTTGGAACAATTAATGGCCTATCACATAACAAGTTGGTTGTACTCGAGTACACTATCAAGAACATGACAAAGAACTTTATAGGCCATTCAAAATCTCTAGTAAGACCTCCTATCTAATTTATAAAGAAAAAAGACAAATCACTTCAGATATTTGTGGATTATCAATGATTCAATAAGATCACCATTAAAAATAAATATCTTCTATCTATGATATTATAACTTTTTAATCAATTAGATCAAATAAAGATCCATATAAAAATAAATTTATAAAGAGTATAAAATTATAATGTGCATTAAAAAAAGAAATAAATAGAAGATTATATTTTGAATCAAGTATGGATATTTTAAATATGATATTATATCTTTTAGAATAAAAATATATTAATAAATTTTTAATATCTATTAAATGTTATTTTTTAAGAATTTATAATTAATTTTGTTATTTTTTTATTTAGTTAATATTTTAATATATTTTAAGAATACAAAAGAATATAAATTTTATACTTGTTGTATGTTATAAAAATTTAGAGATGCAAGACTATTTATTAAGATGGAAAAGTGTGTATTTTACACAACTTAAATTGACTTTTTAAGATATGTCATTTTAAATAATGGCTTTATGATGGATCTTAAAAAAGTTTAGACTATCATAGATGAAAGGTTTCAAGAATAATAAGAGATGTCTAATTTATTATGATATTTTTTAATTAACATCAAATCTTTATTAAGAACTTCTTTCAAGTGTCACGGACATACTCATGTAAGCTAGTAATTACATATACAAGTAAGTAAAAGTAAGTTAATTCTATAGTATTTAATATGGAAGCTTCCTAGAAGCTTCATAGACGCTGCTTTGACTTCATTGGTATATTTAATTGACTTTTTGGATTAGAAACGTGGTCAAGAAGTTGGCCATATGCCACACATGTTGTTAGCTTGAAGATCAAGCTAACTATGTGGCCCACATGTAGAAAAACTTGCCTTGTAAGTCAAGGCATGTGTCCTACAAAGTCAACACATATTGGAGATCCTATAGAATGTCGCCACGTAGCCTCTAGTTAGATAGTATATATAGAGACAAGAGTGAAGGCTTCTTCACTCTTGTCACTTCCTTTTTTGGTTTCAGTCTAGTTTCAAGGGTCTCTAGTTTTCTTGTCTTTTGGCAATAGCTATTCCAGTTTTTCTTTCAATATACATACTTGTTTATTTATACCTTTCTTTGAGTAAAGGCTCACTTATCTGAATTACTTTTTCATCGAGTTCTTGTCCTTGATAAATTGACAAGAGTACATCTATAATATCAGAGCTTTGTCTAATCTTAATTAAGAGTGGATTACCCTTTTTTTTTGATAAGATATAAGCATATTAGAAGTTA